CTTTTTTGGCAGCTGCTGCACACGGCTGGCTCCTATTTAAATGGTTGTCCACTAGCACTCCAAGTTCCCTCTCACAGTTACTGCTATTGAATAGTAACTGTACTATTCCATTCCAGACAAATGGCTGTCCAATTTTCTCTAAAACCCTCCAGTGATGGATCATTTTTACTTTTTTTTAATGGCTATTTCTAAGGTTCTTGTTTTCGTTCTCCCCTTCCAAAAGCAACAGCAGCCTGGAGATTTAGCCAAGGTTGTTGTTGTTTTTTTAAGCTGCCATCTTATTTGCTCCACCTTTAGATATTTTAACAACCGCCGCATCACCTCGGAGGTAGAAGCAAGAAAACTAATAGCTTTGAAGCTCTCTCTCTCTCTCTCTCTCTCTCTCTCTCTCTCTCTCCCTCCCTCCCTCTCTCTTTTTAATAATTAAACACAGAAAAACGACTTGAGAAAATTAAATCTAACACCCTTTTGGAAAGCACAAGCCGCTGGACATTACTCCAATTAACGGGCAAAGCCCTAAGGGCCCAAGTTAATGCAGGTTAAAGATTTGTCAGCCCAGAGTTCAGGAGGGGGATTTGAGGTGGTGCACTTGGTGAGGCCCACTGAATTCCATCGAAAGATCAAAGGGAAAGAGAAGGGTGGAGGGAAGGAGGGAGGGAGAAAGGGGGCGGAAGCAACTGGACTTTTTTGTATTTTTCTTTTGAAGACGTTTTGCTTCTCATCCAAGAAGTTTCTTCAGCTCTGGCTGGATGGTGAGGAACGGAAGGATTTATACTCCTTGAGACAGCTGGCCATTTGCATCCTTTTAGAGGGTCATTGAGGCCATTTGGGAGGTTTTATCTGTGTCCTCAGGGTCACCTGAGTGGTGCATGTGGTTCCTGCAGTCTGCAAGTTTTCCTCTGGAAATCCATCCATTCAAAGGGTGTTCGTCCCAAATTGTATAGCTAAAGATCTGTAGAGATCCTGTCAAAGCTGAAGCAGCTTCTTGGATGAGAAGCAAAACGTCTTCGAAAGATAAAATAAGGAAGTCCATCCTGAAAAAAAAGCACCTTTGAGACAACTGTGACCTGGAGGACGGAGAAACTCTACACACTTTTCACCCACAACTTAATCTTTCTTGTGTGTCGGAAAAGTTCTCCTCACTTCGGGGTTGTATCTCTCTTTAATGACCTGCTTACCCATTGCATCTAGAATATAGAATCACAGGGCTGGAAGGGACCTTGGAGGTCTTCTAGTCCAACCCCCTGCTCCAGGCAGAAGACTCTACACCGTCTCGGTCCAATGGCTGTCCAGCCTCTTCTTGAAAACCTCCAGGCATGGAGCTTATCCCAAAGGTGCTTTTTTTCAAATGGCAACTAGACTTTCATTTTTTTCTTCTTCTTCAGCTCTGTCCTACCTCTGGTGCTTTGGAGAATAAGTCAGTGGCCTCTTCTCGGTGACAGCCCCTCAAAAGTATTGTGAAGAAGATAACCGTATTTTTCGGACTATACGATGCGCCGGAGTATCAGACGCACCAAGATTTTGAAGAGGTAAATTTAAAAACAAAAAGCTTTTGCACTCTGCAGACCTCCCAAACCCTCTACACGCCTCATTTTTTGTGAAAAACGGAACATGCAAACAGTTTGAGAGGCCTGCAAAGTGCTCCTGGGGGCTGGGGGGAGGGGGACACCAAAAATGAGCAAAAAATGCCCCATTTTTTGTGAAAACAGGAACATGCAAACAGTTTGAGAGGCCTGCAAAGTGCTCCTGGGGGCTGGGGGGAGGGGGACACCAAAAATGAGCAAAAAATGCCCCATTTTTTGTGAAAACAGGAACATGCAAACAGTTTGAGAGGCCTGCAAAGTGCTCCT